CTTGGTGTTGGTGATAAGAGTTGGTCTGAGAGAGTAGCTGTCTTGCTGAGATTGCATTCTAATAGGACAGGAAGTAACCTACACAAGTCAGGTAAGACATAAAGGTGGCTGAGAATGCTCAAAACACAAGCCGTTAATTGAGCTTGGGAAAGCCTTAAAAGCATTTAGCACAGCTGAACATGAATGAAGGCTGCAGAAGGCATCATTAATAAGATGAACCTTAAATGAAGCAAATCATGCATGGTGGCATGCTCCTGTAATCCAGCATTAGGGAAGCAGACACAAGAAATTTATTCCGTAACTATATTACATGGTCAAAGCTAGCTGGGCCTACATGGGACACTGCCCCCAACAACAACAACAACAAAAAGGATAAAAAAGTTTATTAGGCAGCTAGAAGAGGTAGACGATGGCTCGTGGTATAGATATATAGGAGCACATGGCAAGAGCCGTATGATGCTCAGACATGATTAAATGAGACAAGGAGAGAAAGTCTGAGAGACTGACATCCTAAACTTGAGTGCTCATACAGACCACTTAGAAAACACTGTGAAAACAGATTCTAATGCAGTGACATGAACTGGGACACTTCCCATTCAAAAGCTGTTGGCTCATAGCTAGTCTGAAGAGCAAGAACTCAAGAGATCTATTTGAGTGCAATGAGGGAGGAAGATAGAAGGGTCCCAGTTAACACATAGATATATGAATATTGTATGGTGGTGGTATGTAAGAGATTGTTGGGGAAATAATGGTTTTGCTCTAGATGTTTGGCTGTTATTTTCTGAGGCACCTACAGCATCTCTAGCAAGAGAACTATGACAGGCATAAGAAGAGAAAAGGAAACTGTTTCCTGAGTAAAAGAAGAAAGACATGCTCATAAAGGCCCTGAGTAACGGCTGCCATGAAAGTGAGAGTGATCAGTAGGAAATGCTGTGGCTAATGTTACAGGCAGAATCTGATGAAGAGGCTAGTGAACATCGAAAGGTATTGGAAGGAACACAAAGTTGTGATTCGGAGAACAAGGAGTGGGGGATTAGGAAGTAAGTGTTTGGATTAGAAATAGCTGAAGGGAATTCCCTGAAAAGTATCTGACTGTGTGTGTGTGTGTGTGTGTGTGTGTGTGTGTGTGTGTGTGTGTGCGCTAAGACATCCTTTCATTCTCCTTTTCCTCTGTTCTCCCCTCCCATTCCTTTTATTACAGAAATCTCCCCAAACATTTTTCTGTTTTTTCAAATGAAGGACACATTTTTAGATACAGCTGACTCAAATAGATTTATATACTCAGAGAAAAGAGCCAGCATTGAAGGAGCAATTGAGAATTTCGAGGAGAAAGACAATACTTGATGCAATAGAGGTTTTGAAAAGAAAACCAGTCATAGAGGGTGGTACAGGCAACAGTCAGGGCTCCAGATAAGTGATACTTTGTTTACTAAATTGATGGAAACAAAAGACTGAGTGCATCTCAGAAGCAGCCTTGAAATTTGACTTTCTAGCAGCTTTCTGTGTGTGTCAGTTCTCCCCAACTTCCCTTGCCCTTACACTCCATATCCCTTTAGGCTTACACAATTCTTGCCCCATCCCTGGAACATGGTCTGTTATTATTTGGAGATAGGATCTACTTAGGTTCCTCAAGATGGCTTTTAACTTACAATCTTTCTGCCTTAGTCTCCTGGGATGACAGTATACACCAACATGTTTGGCTTGTTAATTTTATTAAAGTCTGTTTGACAAAAGCATTTCATGAGCTCTGTGGTTTTCTTGAAATGATGGTGTCTTCAGACAACAATTACATAACAGCACCATCATCGAACATGCTCTATCTTACAGCCAGCCTTTAGTATGTATTGACATAAGTATGTACAGTATGTATTGACACCCACATTGAAACTGTCCTCCTGTCCAACAACTAGAATTCCTTCTCTAATCAGAATTCTTGGGAAAAATAAATCTTCATTTCTTTGCATAAAGGCTGTGGTTTTTGGTGTCAAGAAATGAGCAGATTCATACCTAGTAAAAGCTTCTCCAAGTTCACAGAATTCTCGCAGAACTTTGATGAACTAGAATTAGGAAAGAGGAAGCAAGATTGTGGCAAGGATTTAGAATCCACTGAAGCCTTTGCAGTTCGCTTTTTAACCTAAGATTGTGTCTTGCTTGTACTAGAAGAGGAGCCTACTTGGTTAAAGAACTACTTAAATCAGCAGGATTGCCAAGTAGCACCCTTCTGTGTTTACTATGGGTAGATAGGGTTAGAAAATGAGATTCCCCTAAAGACTTGTTCTCTGTACATGTTAGAAGATGAAGACAAGGATAGGAAAATTCATGGCTGAGGGATACCAGATAGGGCCTGGTTCTCTGCAGAGGTGGAGAATACTCTTTGCCAATGTTCAGGGTTCTTTTTTTTTTTTTTTTTTTGCCTCTGTGTACTTTTCTCCATTTAAGTCTATATAAGTTTGTATTTACATGACCAACATCCTAGTCATTTCCTAGGTAACAACTCGCCTCTAGAGGCAGAAATGTTTACTGCAAGCATTTTGTGTTAGCTTTTTGTTTCCTTAGGACAATGATTCTCAACCTGGAGGTTGTGATCCCTTTGCAGTGGCTGGGATGGGGTGGGGGATGAAGGGGTATGTTGAATAACCCTTTCAACAGGGGTCACCTAAGACCATTGGAAAATACAGATATAAATTATAACTTATATTACAATTTATAACAGTATTAAAATTACAGTTATGAAGTCACAACAAAAATAATTTTATGGTTGTGAGTCACTACAACATGAGGAATGATCCTAAAGGGTCCCAGCATTAGGAAGGTTGAGAAGCACTGCCTTAGGGGATTACCTTTCTTGGCCAAGTTGCTATGATATTTTACAATAGGCAGCCATCATTTATACTTGTGTGGTTAAATTATATGATTTTAAGATAATTTCTTTATATTTTCAAAATTCTATGCTTGATTACTTAGCACCTAATAATTGTTTAATTCTCTTAATGGAGAAAAGGATATTATGTGTAAATAGTTGGCATTACAAGAGTTGGCATTACATTAGTAGGTTCTGGGAATTGTTGTGATTCTTATTTTTTTTAATGCAATACACATTTTCAGGTTAAATATCATAAATATAACATATGTGTGTGTGTGTGTGCGTGTGAGAGAGAGAGAGAGTGAGATTGAATAATTTACATTCCAACTATGCATGACTAGGTTTTTTTGGCATATGAAGTATATTTTTGTAGTGGAAAAAATTTAAGTACTGAAAGAAAATGTTTCAATACAAGATCCTTAGAATGTGGGCATCTATAACTACACGTAAAAACTACCACACAAATATTTTGCATTAAAGCATTCACTGAATCAGCCTCTCAAGAAAAATAACTCAGCACAGCTACTTCTTAGTCTATTCTGATGTTTGTAGCTTTTAGATATTAGTAGATGTTAGTCTTTACAATGAATAATACTGCTTTCTAAAATCAATGTCAAGAACTGAGTAAAGTTGATACTTTCAGTAAAATTGAGCTTCCCTTGGGCAAATTAAAAATGAAGACATGTGAGTCTTTAGGTCCATCAAACATATATTTTCCATTGACTCAGAATTTAAGGGGGAGCTGGGCGGTGGTGGCGCACGCCTTTATTCCCAGCACTTGGGAGGCAGAGGCAGTGGATTTCTGAGTTCGAGGCCAGCCTGGTGTACAGAGTGAGTTCCAGGACAGCCAGGGCTCCGCAGAGAAACCCTGTCTCAAAAAACAAAAACAAAAAAAAGAAAAAAATTTAAGGGGGAAAACTAACTTCTCATGTATTATTTTAATTAATTTTTGTGTGGCTCATGGTGTGTATATATGTAGATTAAGGACAACTTGACAGAGTTGGTTCTCTCCTTCTAGTATGTGGGTCCCAGGAATCAAAGTCAGGTTCGACTTTGCACTTGTACCCACTGAGAGATCTTACTGCCTTCCTTTTTGTATCATTTAGATATAGTTTTAGTACATGTAAGGGAATACATGGATTTGCATTTTAAGAGCAGGCATGGATAGAGCTACTGTACTTAAGATAATATAATATTGACAAAACAGACTATAGATCAGTTGAACAGAACATATTATCCAGAAATAGATCCCTTTAGAGTCAACATTATTTGATCTTCAACAAGAGAGCAAAGACTACACAATTAGAAAAACTGCTTTCAACACTTGGTGCTAGAACAACTGCATAGTCCCTATAGAATACCTGTAACGTGTGAGTAAACACAGAACTTTCACCATTTATAAAGTTGAATTCCAAATATAAAACAGTCCAAAATATAAAATACTAAATGCTATAAATGCTTGAAGATAATATGGAAGAATTTTAAGGGTCTGGGGTTTGGTAATGGCTTTGTATGTATAACATCACAAGAAAGGAAAAGGAAAAAAACTGAAGAAATGAAATGCTAATCACAGTCTTGATTCTGCAGAAACTGATAGATCAGCTGACAGAACAAAACATAGTATGTAAAAGACCTTCCATGTTCTCATTGACCAAGATTGGCATCAGGAATGAGTTTCAGTCTACATTGCCTCTGAAGCAGGATTTGAGGCCATGCATTTGAAAGGAATGTATAACAAACATGAGAGAAAACTGAAGAACGGAAGGAGATGAGTGGGGTCATTATTAGATAAAAATCACAGTAGGTGACTAGAAGTGAACAGTGGGAAATAGCATAGAACACGTCTGACAGTTATTCTACACAACAGGTAAGGAAACAAGCTCTTACTGTGACTAGAATTGAGTTATTGAGGGTTTCCCCCTGGCTCTCAATCCCCTGATGCTTCAGCCTACCAGGAATATGTGTATCCAGTCTTGTGTAATTCTGTAAGAGTCCCTGGGCAGTCTCAAATCTCACCAGGTGGAACTTAGTAATACGGAAGAATCTGAGGCCTGTAGGTGACAGATGGCAGAGGAGTGGCCAGAGGCTTCCTGGTGGAGATGAAATTTGACAGTGCTCTTTCTTTTTCTCTCTTCAGGCTTCATGATGACCTTGTCCCTGCTGTCTATTGTCTATGGCGCCTTACGTTGCAACATCTTAGCCATCAAAATCAAGTATGATGAGTATGAGGTCAAAGTCAAACCCCTGGCCTATGTCTGTATCTTCCTCTGGAGAAGCTTTGAGATTGCCACTCGGGTCATCGTCCTGGTCCTCTTTACCTCTGTCCTGAAGATCTGGGTGGTAGCAGTCATCCTTGTCAACTTCTTCAGTTTCTTCTTGTACCCCTGGATCATTTTCTGGTACAGTGGCTCCCCATTCCCTGAGAACATAGAGAAGGCCCTAAGTAGGGTAGGTACCACCATTGTGCTGTGTTTCTTCACTCTACTCTATGCTGGCATCAACATGTTCTGCTGGTCAGCTGTCCAGCTGAAAATTGACAATCCGGAGCTCATCAGCAAGTCCCAGAATTGGTACCGGCTGCTGATTTACTACATGGTGAGATTCATCGAGAACTCTGTCCTCCTGCTCCTGTGGTATTTTTTTAAAACTGACATATACATGTATGTGTGTGCACCTCTGTTGATTTTGCAGCTGCTCGTTGGGTACTGCACCGGCATTCTCTTCATGCTTGTGTTCTATCAGTTTTTCCATCCTTGCAAAAAGCTCTTCTCTTCCAGTGTTTCTGAAAGCTTTAGGTCATGTCTCAGGTGTGTTTGTTGGTCCTCCATGAGGAGCAAATCCACCGAGCCAGTAGCAAGGATAGACACAGACTTAAAGGCATGCACAGAGGAAGAGGTAATGCCTTCTACCAGTAAATTGACCCCCGAGACCACTGAGATTTGGACTGCTGTTGATCTGTGCTCCGCTTAATGGAATTCGAGGCTTCTTACAAGTAATGAGACTTCATACCTTCGTACATGTCACGAACCCTGCACAGGGACTAAGGCAGGAAGTTAGCTGTCAGCTCCCTGTGAGCTGCTACCTTTTATAAAGCTCTTAGATTTGAGGCAGCTTTGGGAACACTAGGGAAGCCTACTACCCCACAGTTTGTTTCACACTTGACTCTCTTATGTTCTTGCAGGCCTTACTGGCCACTTCATTGATGGACACAGTATCCCTGACGTTTCATTTGACCTGGTCATATCCACCAGGCAGAATAAAGAACAATGCTTGTTTTTCAGTTTCTAGCCTGTTGTCTCAGTAGCCTGATGCTTTTCTATTGCTGAATATAGCTTTATACAAGAGTCCCCATGATAGCTGGAATAGGTTACAAAGGATTTCACAACTTTGTTTCAAGTATAGCTTACAGGGGAGCTACTTAAGTTTGTTTTATCAGTGTGTTCCATTTTCACCTCAGTAAGACTTTTTGTACATAACCAACTGTAGCCACTCTGGCATGCAATGTGCATTTTGTTTCAAGGGCCTAGATTTGGGGACTTTATTCCCTAGGATCCATTGGTACAGTTATTTAGGAAAGCCACGTTCCATTCCACATGTTGAAGAAAGGAGGGATCAGGATGGACTGGGACAATTGTTAGAACATCAAAATGATGGTAGCTTATACAAATACCTAAGTGTTTAAAGATCTGAATTGGTTAGAAGGTAGGCTTCATTCTCCTCATAACTCGGTCTTGTCTTATAAATCTGTGAAATTTCTAGTAGATTTTCTAATATTAATATTTTAAGAAAGACAAAAATAAAACTAATACTCTTCATTTCCATCTCCCCCTTCCTTGCCTGCCAGAAAAGTTTTAAACAATACTTACCTCAGTTCATTTGCTGTTGTTTCTAGAAAACCCTATGCAAGAAATCTCTTCCCTGATGCAAGTATACAGGACATTTTAATTTTTTCAATTTTTTAGAAAAAGAAGTGGTTTCCTCACTACCACCCTTAGTTAGAAATGTTGACCTTAGAAACTTTCTAAGTTATAAAAAGTAATGAAATGATCAGAAGTTTTTGTTCCTCACGAAATCTATTTTGATTTGATATAAGTTTTTAAATGAGATCTTTAATTTAATTTAATTTTAATGAGATCTTCAGTTTTGTCCTCCACACTATTTCATCTAATGAATAATTTCTCTCTGATCTGGAACTATTTATTTTAATTAAACAGGGTTGGATAGAATATTGTCAATAGTCTGATGAAAATACCAGCAAGAAGTGCTACAATTTCTACCACTAAAATGTGGATGATGAAATGTCTAGAAACAAGTGACCGTAAAATTTGTGCCAACTTAACATAAGAATTGTAACAAAATTTAATACATTTTCAAAGGCACCTCTGTTTGTGATTCTGTGGGATAGAATAGATATTTACTTTTCTGACCACATAAATCCGTAAAACACAATTATTTGGCCATCATACTCCTTATAATTGCTTTTATAAACATAATTGCTTTTTAGAAATTTAGTCCAGTAAATATTTTACTATGCTAGAGGATTCATAAAATAATAAGTATTCCTTGATGTGTCATCCACACTGTTAATCTTTGTACCATTTTGTATGTATACACTTGAGTAAAGTTCTGAACCATAGAGCATCCATTTTCTTTTTCTGAAATATTTTTCCTCATTTGTAATTCTTCTGGTTTGCCAGAATTTGTGGTTTACCTGTATGAGAATGCATAGGCAGTACATCCATTTTGACCACTTTTAACATATAAAATTCAAATTAATGTTTGTCACTATTTTCTGCTGCCCCCTGTATCACTTTTCCTGTTTTTAATAGATCTAGATATAGTTAGTATACATCATGAAAGTGATACTTTAGATGACACATCCATCTTTATACTTTTCCTGTGCAGAGGTACAAAACTGTTGAAAATATAACAAGTACAGGGAAAGCTAGCTTAAGATGCTAAAGCACTCCTGTTTTCGTTATTTCCTATTTAAGAAGTTCAAAATGATTGAGACGGTAGGAAGAGCGTCCCTAGGTCATCCTAAAATGCTTTTCACTCTCAAATCATTTCCTTATGTTTACAGGCACCAGGTGTTTTCAGTCTTTAATGTGAAGGACATCCTTTCCTTGAAGCTTTCCAGTGACTGAGGGTAGAGGTGGTACCCAATTTTGGGTCATGTCTTGAGGGTGAGACTAGTACCACTTTGATACTTCCTAGGTAGGTTCAGAATTAGACAAGGGTAAGGACAGTTGTATTTTTCGAGCCTTGGTTTAGAAGCATGACCCCAAAATACTTTTAAACTTTTAATTTTCAAATATATTGTAAGCCCTTTTACCTTAGTCAGTTGGTAAGCATTTTGAATGACCTCAAACCAAACTAGCAGTGAGAAACTATCAGACACCAAAGGCCCAGGTAATGCCTTATAAAGACGGTGTTTTTTGTTTTTTATTTTTAGCTAATTAGATATTAGTTCAGTCTCTTGGTATGTAAGCATTTTCCTTGTGCAGTCCCAAAAGCTAGCTTACTTATTCTAGGCCTCCGTTTCCTAACTTATGAAATTAACATTATACATACACTCTTCCAACTTACCTCACAAACTTGTTGGAAAGATTTCATTAAGTAATAGATACAAAAATATTTCAAAGTACCATAAAGAGTTATTATATTCTTCAAGTCCATAAACTGGTTATTGTTTGTGGTTTTGTTTTGTTGTTTTCCTGACTGAAATGACATAAGTAGTTTCATCCACATCATGTCTTCAGTTAAGGTATAGGTCTTTAGTCTTCTTTGCCGTTACCCTCTCTTACCATCACTTAATCACAAAATTTAGTACTCAGGGTATGCGCGATGGCTCATCGTGGGAAGGTTTATGCCACCAAACTCAACAACCCAACTTCCATCCTTGGGACCTACATGGTCAAAGGAAAGAAACAGTTCCCACAGCTGTCTGGTTTCCAAAAGCAAACTATGGTGCATGTGTGCACGCACACAGACACAACACACACACACACACGCACGTACACATGCACGTACACACGCATGTGCACATACACACATACACTTACAAAATAAAAACATTAAAAATAGCCCCTAAGCCCTTAGTACTTGATGGAAAAAAAGACCCAGTGGATCTCAGAAAGTGCTTCTGATAGCAAATAAGTTTATTGTCTTGATATTATCCTTTATAAAGAATGTAACAGCATCTTTTGATAATTACATTACAACTGAAATAGCTGATTTGAAGCATTAATTAAATGTGAATGTAATCTGTACTATTTTGTAAACAGGAAAATAAGTTTAGTATTGATTGTCTTGACAACGCAGCATTTCCTTGGGAACCCATCTTATAACATTAGTATGGTTGTGTGTGCCAGTGCATCTCAGCCAGTGGATTGTGGGTATGCACTTTTGTGGACTACTTCTCGGAGTCATTGACTCAAATGTTGTTTATGTTTCTTCATATAATAAATTAATTTTTTCAATTTTCTCTTGCATTTTATTTCTTGTATAATCCTCAAATGACTTCATTTTTAAATTTAAGGCCCATTTAAAAGACAAATTTGAAAATGGTTTGTTGTGATTATGTACTTTTTAAAATGTAAAATGTAAATCCCTGCAGTAGGATGAAAAGTTTAAGAATGCAAAGTTTCAGGCTTTCAATACAACAGCTATCCATGAAAACACTGCTGTCTTGTAAGACAGCATAGCTCTATTTGTTGAAGCCATGCTGCTGGATACATATATACATATATATATATATATATATGTGTGTGTGTGTGTGTGTGTGTGTGTGTGTGTATTCATTCTAGAGAGCATGAATATAAAATATAAGGATGACAGACTTTGGCTTAGTGTGAACATAAACATACTACAAAATGAATTGCTTCTGTGACTGGAAAAAATATCACTCATTGAAAGGGGTCATTGGAGACCATGGGCCAGGTGTGGTTTGTTTTAATAATTTGTTTCTAAAGGTGTCCTTTCAGTTTGCAAAGATACAACTATAGGAGATATATATATATATGTGTGTGTGTGTGTGTGTGTGTGTGTGTGTGTTGCACAAAGACACATATGTTGAATGTGTACAGTTACTGAGTTTAGACATTTGCATACACCCATGATATTATCGCCATAAACAAGGTGCTACACCTCAAAAAGTTTCATTTCCGTTGCTTGTTTTTCTTTTTTGGAAAATGAGACAAAGGAACCACCCTCTTAGAGTTCGCATTACTCTTTCAGCAGCTTTGATGCACTCTGTTATGTAGCAGATCTCTAGAACTTACACGGTATAAAGCTGAGATTTCATATGCATCTAGTAACAATAGTTTTCCCTCTAGCCATTGGTAGCTACTGTCTGTAGGTATGAATTTGATTATTCTAGACACCTTATTTAAGTACAGCCACAAGGCATTTGTTCTCCCATGTCTGGCTTATTTTGATTAATATAATGTCCTCCCAATTTATGTGTGTTGACGGGAATAGCAGCTTCCTTTTGGAAGTTAATATCTCATCATATGTATATACTATGTTTTCTTTATTCATTTGGATCCTTTTCCTCTTGTGGCTGTTGGGAGTGCTATTGTAATGACTATGGAAGTGCAATTGTCTCTTAAACATCTTGATTTTATTTATTTTGGCTGTACTCCCAGAAGGATCATATGGTAGTTCTACTTTTTTTCTTTTTTAAATTTTAGGGGCTATGATGACTAATGGTCCTTCAAGTCCAGAAATTGTCATCTTAGGGCATTTCAACTGTGCCTCTTGCAAAAGATCTTTCCAGCTGGGTTTGTTGACAGTTTGTACCCCCTCCCCCACCTGAGTATTCCACTGTTCCATCCCAACTGGCAACTTTGCTTATGGCATGGGAGAGAGAGTAGAATATATGTGTATATATTTATATTGTGTTGGTGTATGTGTGCATGTTTGTTGTGAAAGACTAAATCAGGGCTCCATATATGCAAGTAAGGAGAAGCCCTCATCCCTGCTTGGACAGTGCCTTCCGATGCAGCATGTTGAGGGAGTAGTGCCTACACCCCTCTCAATAACCCCCTACCAAGCAAACTCAATGATATTTCATCTTATAACCCTTTGTTTGGGCATTTTGTTTTTGTCTTATCAATCTTTTGCTTGTGCATATGGCTTCCAATTTTGTGTTTTTATAGGTTCTGTGCATGTGCACGTGTGTATATGTATATCTTGTAGTTTTTTATTCTCTTTTTTTTCTAAAGAGAGAGAGAGAATGAAGATGGAGTTGGGAAGGTGGGGAGATGGGGAGGATCTGGGAGGGAGTTGGGGAAGGAGAATCTGATCTGAATATATTGTATGAAAACAAATTTATTTTCAATAAAAATATGATTTTGTGTAAATATTAAGAATTAGGTGAGGGCAGTAAGTCATTGTAGATACTCCCCTGACCATATTTCTTTGTGTCTTCCTTACAGGAGATGGTGTTTTTCTAAGTAACAAAAATTATACAGACTTCTGAGCGTGGTGGCACATGTCATTGATCTAAGCACTCAGGAGTCAGGGATATGTAGTGAGACAAAATATTATATATTCTTATGGGGAAGTATATGATATTTTAGTATATGTATCCATTGTGCAGTGTTCACATAAGAAGTAACCAGGTCTGTCTCTTCAAACATTTGTCATTTCCTTATGGTGAAAGTATTCATAATCACTTTTCTAGGTATTTTAAAAACACAGTACAGTGCCGCCACCTGTGGTCACCTACTGTGCAATAGAACACCAGAAATTACTTTTCATATCAAATTATAACTTAAGGAACGAACATAGCTATTTTTGTGAATGTCTTTACAACTGAAAAAGCATGCCAATTATACATTATAATTAAATGAATAACTTTCTTGGCAGGTTTTCTATCTCAGGAAAAGATACTTTTTAGCAGCGAAACTTGGTATATAATCCAGAAACCTTTAGCTCCTTCTTTCCAGATACACAACAAGCCCTGGCAGATGAGGTCACCGATAATGCCAAGATGGTGAGTTTTGTGCAGAACCATACTCTAGACCCTAGGTGTTTTCACCTGCTCATCACGTACAGCAAAGATACCAATGCTGGAGACCCAACACAGATTAGTAAACTTACTTAAAGCATTATGAGGTGGGTTTTTGCAGTCTTTTAAAATCAATTGCATGACTCTGAAGCATGGACTTTGTAGATGACAGTGTTGTTGTACAATATCAAAAGGCTGGGCCCAGCTGCTAGGAAATGCCCCATCACCTTTTCTTTGCAAATTACTAGGTTTCCAGCAGTGGTGGTTTGAGCAGGGTTCAGACCAAAGAACATCTTCGAGACATGTAAAACTGCAAACAGCAGCATCTCCGCAGCAGATGATGAGAAGAAACTTTTCCTTAATGGCTGTAGTGTGTCAACATCGTGTACAGGGGAGGAATTTCAGGCTTTGCTGCCCTCCAAAGAGGAAAGATTTGTGGAGACAGATTTGAAGTTTCTGTGTGTGCTTTTTCCTCCCTGCCTACCTCTCATCCTCAATTAATTTTCTCTCCTAGTGATGAGTTTCTGATTGAAATCTGATTAGCCTACTCCCTAGCATCCTGGTAATAACACCTTCTTTACATATCTGCATTATGCATACTGGCTTAATTTCTTATCAGTTTGCTTCTGATCTTAATTACCTCAAGTCTACAGTTAATGAGTCAGTTTTAGAAGCAGAAGAACTCAAGAAACAAAACAGAATGGAAACTTTATTTTTCAGAGCAATGTTTCAAGACCATCCCCCACTATCACCACCTCAACATAGTGAAGGGCACCCTGCTGTTACTGTCTCTACCAAGAGGACTTTCTTAAATGGAATGGCAGAATTGCCATCCTCTCTAGTGACTATAAATATCTAGCACACATTTGTACAATTATTTTCAAGCCAATGGGGATAATGTTGTGAGTGGTAGGAGAAAATGATGAAAACTGTCACTGTGGTCAAAGTAGTCATCAGATTCTTCCTGACATGCACCATAAACAAGAATTAAAAGCTGAAGATGGAACCACTATCATGTCAGGTGAACCTACAAGCACTGCTAAAACTGCAGGACTACTGTTCTGTGAGGCAATTTCAGTGGGGATAGTTTTTCCTGTCTACTAAGAGCCCTCATTGTGGACAAATGCAGTTTGCTTAGGCAGTTGGCCATATCGTCATACAGGCCCCAAAACAATCCAGTACCCACCGAGACCATCAATTTCTCCCTCCAGTGTTGTCAAGAACAGAAGATGATTGCAAGAGAAGCAAAATGTGGATTGTTTCCTCCAAACTCCTGGTAGAGCTCTACTTAGGTGATGTGATGCATGTGGAAGGATTGTGTTTAAAAGCAGGCTGTATGACCTGCACTCATATATTTTTTTCAATTTATGAATATATTTTCTTTTTAAATATTTATTATTTTATTTTACTTTATTTTAACACATCCCAATTGCTGTCTTCCCTCCCAGTCCCCCCATAGAGTCCATGTCTTCATCTCCTCTCCCCTTCTCCTCTTGAGAGGGTGGGGCCCCCCGGGGTCCCCCCCCCCCCCGCAACCAGATGTCTCTAGAGGGTTAGGCGCATCAAATATTTCATGTATGTATTTCTTCTGTCAGTATATGGACATACAAGATTAGTGGGAAAAAAGGTTCAGCCACTTCTACCTGAGGGTAAATCTTTCACCTGTAAAAGGCTTAATGTTGTCTAGTCCTGGACTTCAAATCTGATCTTGACCCTGAGCTTTTCTTTATTGAAATAGGGCTAGGGTCCAGGCATAGCAGAAGTGATACCATGGTCACGAAGTTGGTTTCCCCAGTGTGAGGCTTATTCATTGCGCTACAGATGTACTGACCTCTGTGGTGCCCATACATGTGGGGAAGTCAACTGCATAATTTCTGGGAGTGGGAGTCTGCTCTCTCTCTCTCTCTCTCTCTCTCTCTCTCTCTCTCTCTCTCTCTCTCTCTCTCCCTCTCTCTCCCCCCCATCCCTCCCTCCCTCTGTCCCTGTGACTAAATTCACTTTAAAGGAAAAGAAATAAGAAGAGCAGGGCCTAGGGAGTGTATTGCAGCGTGGTGAGTTTCACCTACCAGGGACCTGCTTCTCACCCAGTACTATGGGTTCCATTGCAAGCAAATTCCCTATTCCTCTGCCTGAACGTTGACCTCATTTCCTAGGTTTGAGAGCACCTTAGAATTTCTTTATATCACATTTTCTACCTTTCACACTGAATTCATTTTCTCCTTTCTCTGGAGAACTGATTCTGAAGGAAAAAGATAAGCCAGGTTTCTATTAAGCACCAAAGAACTATTCAGGTATGCAGGGCTGTTTGTATCCTGACAGAACTGCCTGGAATTATAGGATAAAACAAATATTATTAAGGCCCCGATATTATCTACACATTTCCAAAGGGAAATTAATTATATGCTAGAATGTCATGTCCTTAGATAGCACTCATATTCAGCATCTAATATTAATGAATACTCTTATGTATACTCCAGTACTGGGACGTGTGGCAGCCATTAACCACTTATGGTTACTAAGCATATAAAATGTGTCTACTTCAAATTGAAATGTGTACATATAAAACATGAATAGCCTAAAACCCTAGTAACCAAACAAAGTAATGGAAATATTAACGATTACCTTTATATTGGATGACATGAGGAAGTCAAATATTTGAAGTTTACTGGCCTAAAAAAGAGATAAATAAAATTAATTTTGCCTCATTTAGTAACATTAAATTTTACCTCTTCCAAGTCACTGTTTCTTGTGACTCCCAGGACAGTTAGAATTGCTCGCTTGGCTCTCTTCTGTGGTCTCTGTTGAAGCAGACAGAGCTGCTTCAAACGTGGTTTAGTGAATGCTGTCATGAAAACCTATATTTATTTCCCTTTTTAATTATTTTTATCTGGGGGAGGGAATTTAATATATGATTGTAGGGTGTTTTGATAAAATCTATCCTCAACTCCCTCCCCTCCAGTGCCTCTGTCTCATAGCCACTACCACTTTCCCTCATCCATACTCTGATGGTGACTGGCTTGATCATCTACAGGCCCTGTGCATGTAGTCACAGCAACTGTTAGTCTCTACGTGAAGCTCTATTATTTTCAAACAACACTTTTGTGGCACTCCTCCAGGCCTTCTGGCTCTTCCGATCTTAATGTTGTCGCTTTTGCAGTGATCCCCAAGCCTTTGGAGGAAGGGGTATGACAAGATGTCCCATTTAGAGCTGAACACTCCACAGTTTCTTATTCTCAACACTGGTCCATTGTGTATCTCTGTGTTAATTGTCACCATCTTCCGCAAAAAAGAAATCTCTAAAATCAGTTGGCTGAGCTCAGGGAACCTGGTGAAGGACTGATGGAAGGACTGGAGGAGCAGAGGGGGATTGCAACCTCATTGGAAGAACAACATAGGCTGACCTGACCCCCCAGTTCTCCCAGAGTCTAGACCACCAACCAAGGAGTACCTGGACAGATCCATGGCTCCAGATACATAGGTAGCAGAGGATGGCCTTGCCTGACATCAATGGGAGGGGAGGCCCTTGATCCCAGGGAGGTTTGATGCCCCAGCGTAGGGGGATGCTAGAGTGGTGGGGTGGGAGAGGGTGGATGGGTAGTGAAGCACCCTCATACAGGCAAAGGGGAGGGTGGAGGGTGGATGTGGGATGTGGTGTTGGTGGAGGGGTAATTGAGAAGTGGGATATCATTTGAGATGTAAACGAATGGAATGATTAATTAAAAAAAACAGTTGAGAGATGTACTAATCTACAGGTATAAGGACATGTTGAAAGAACAGTTTGATGCCATTTATCAAAAATAATGGTAGTAGAATCCCCCCTAGGGTCTATGATCTCTTCTTTAGCTGTAGGTTCTTGACTAGATTTACAATACCAACCATGTATTGTGCCCTGTGGAGTAGGTCTTAAATCCAATCAGAATGTGCTTTTAGTTACCTCTGTAACATTTAGGCCACTATTACACCTATGGGAATATTTTACCAGGCTGGTTGTTACTGTAGTTTTCGGGGTTCACAACTGAAATGTGGATGACTGCATGCATAATATCTAGAAGCACTGTGAATGTTATCCAGGAGTGATGAAACATCTAGGTTAGTGTACCAGCTTGAATTCTCTGTCTTATGATTCAAGTATGTGGTATCTTCAGCAATAGCTTCTTACCTTCAAGGTGTGGTTGGAACCCAAGAGCATTGGCAGTAGCCTGCATCGTTTTGAGAGACTATGAGATTCCTCTGACCAACAACTGGAAGAGAAATGATACATCTCTGTCACTGGCATTTTTATCTGATAGCCTATGGCATGTAAAAGAGTCATTATCCTAGATAATTATGAATAATTAAATGTATATAATTGTCTATGTATATTGGTTTGTCTAATTGCTGGTTTTAAGATCTCATGTATTTCAGATATCAGAATGTTTTCAGATACAGTCAATAACAACGTGTTCTCATTCTGTAGGTTATTTTTTTCACTGTGTTCGAATGTTTCCTTTCCTTTGGTATAATCCCACTTGTATACTTTTGTTTTCATTGTATGTATTTCAGGGGGATCATATCCCAAAAGTCTTGCCTATTTCAATTTTGTGAAGCATTTCCCTTGAGCTTTATTCTCGTAGTTTAAGTGGTGTCTTATGTTAAGGTCTTAAACATTCATCTGCATGGGATTGTGCAATTTTTCTAACACCATTTGTTAAAGGGACTGTTTTCTTCTTTACAGTTTATATTTTTTGGCATTTTTGTTCAGAAGTCATTTGGTGATAAATGTGTGAATTTACTTCTAGGCTCTCTGCTCTTTCCCAATGTGTGTGTGTGTGTGTGTGTGTGTGTGTGTGTGTGTGTGTGTGTGTATTTCAATCCAATAGTGATTTGACTACTATAGCATTATAGTGACTTTTAAAGAAAGGTAGCATAGTAGCTCCTGCTTTGTTCTTGTTGCTCAAAGTATCTTTGGTAACTGGGAGTTAATATGGTTTCATGTAAGTTTACATTTTTACTACATCTGTGAAGAAAGCCACTGTATTTTTTTTATAGAAATTGTGTTCAATTTATAATTGGTTTTGGAAGTAGAGACATTTAAACAGTACTGATTCTTCTGATTCATAAATAATTTTCTGATCCTTTGACATTCTCAGGTGCTTCTTGGGCAAACCCCGGTATCACACATATTTGCTTCTTTAATATTGTCCCCCAAAATACCAGTAAGCATTTTTTCTTTTTTTTTCTTCTCAAACTATATTTTCAAGTACTTTATATTCTAGCCCACTTACTCTTTTTGTCTATTCTATTTAGAGCCCATATTACATGTAAAGTTTTCCTAAACATATTTTTCGTCTCAATACTTTCTATTTGACTTTTAAATTGCTCATATTTTGTTGTTTCCTTGTTATAATAATGGCATGTTTCTCTGGTTTCTTCAAGCTTATTGAGTTGAAAGAATTCCTTAAATTCCTTAAAATAATTGTTTTAAGTTCTCTGAGATTACTATCACACTGGTTACTGTCTGGTCAGTTTCTGGCATGTTATGTCATGGTTTTCTGAAAGCTGCTGATGCTTGTTGGCATATGACAGCATCTGGAACTGATGATAAGGAATCTTAGTCATTTGCTTTATCCTAGCATTACATAGCACCAAGGTACGGAGCTGTCAGAAGTCTATCAATGATGTGTTGTCATTTCAGTATTGTAGGCAAAGTCGGGCTTTTCCATAAATTTCCATAAAAAAAAAACAAGCAGTAGAGTATCTAGAGAGAGTTGTCTGTCCCTGCAGCGGTTGTTCTGGGGGGACTTGTTTACAGTTACTGGCTTGTGGCTAGACTTTTAAGAATCATTGTCAATGGACCAGCCACAAGCACCTGTACCCACCAGAGCCATAAGCTGTATCACTCTCTGAGACCACTATCCAGGAAGACTAGTACAACAATGGGTGAGGAACAAGAGCTATGCTTTAAACGGTTGCCAGGTCCTTAGCCCCATAACCCAGGACTTTAGGAATGAGCCACAAGTGTTGGAATGGGAAGTCCAATAGACTAAGGCTGCATGCCTTCCCTTACAGGAACTGCACCAGAGGCTCAGCCTCGGGCAGAACTGTTAATGGGAGCTGGACGACGTGTCCATGTGTGGCTTCTACAGCTAAGCAGGGCTCCAGGGCAAAGGCTTATATGCTTTAATACTCTGGGCTACTCATCCATGAGTGGAGCCTTGCACTATACTATATTGCGTAAACTTGGTATATTGTTGGTGAGGGCAGAATATTGGTCATCTTGGCTTGTGGTAAGCTGAGTTGTGTGTATCTCATGAGTTGTGAGAAGCCGAAAAATCATCACAGATAGCCGTGATGCAGGCCAAATCACAAATCAGCCCCACCTGATGTACAGGATGGTGCTGGGGTTAGTTCTGGGGCAGTTCAGGATTCTTGTATACGAGTACTGCTCTGGCAATAGCTGTACTGGCTGAAGTTGGTGGAGAGTTGTGGGGGTAGTCCCCTGGCCAGAAAAGCTAAGCCTGGACACATCGATGTTTCAGCCAGAGGGGCTTGGACTTTCTCAGGGAGGACAGGTGTTCCCAATATTTATAGGTATAACTGATGCAGTTGAAACTCAGGTCTGTCCTCCAGGTCCACAGATTTCTATGTTTTGCATGGTTTACAAGCTCTGACTGAGCTTTGGACTACTGAACACCCTTCTTTCTTTCTTTCTTTTTTTTTTTTTTACTTAAATCTTAGTCTCACACTGTCTTCTACTGGACTCTCAGACAAATCCCTGTCCTAGATTCCTTACCGTGTTCCTCAGCTGGTGGACTTCTGTTCCCCACTCTCCAGCCTGAGGTTGGGGGTGCTGATAACTAAGCGGAGTCACTCTACTGCCTGCCACACAGCTACAGTGTCTTAGTTTTCAGGTACTAACCTAACAAAACA